TAGGCATATTTATTTTATTCCAAGAAATAATATGAGTTTTCTTATTATCAACAATGTTAAGAAAAAAATCTAGAAATTAAAGAAGATATTTTCTTCCTTAAAACTTTAGGCAGTAAAGAAGAATGAAGCCAATAATAAAAATAACTTCAAATAGTAAATTTTATAAGTTGAAATCTGCCAGCAGTTGATAATAAGTTTCTTTTCCAACCAACAAGTTAATAATTAGGTCTATCAATCAGAGTATGACAATAAAAAATAACCAACATATAGAGTTTAATAGTAACACCAAGGTAATTCCATGGTAAAGTTTTTTTTAGAAAAACAAATTAAACTACTTAGAAAGTTTTGAACATTAGTGTCTCATTATTGAAAAAAAAAAACTAATTTAGAAAACTTTATGTGAAGATTAGTATCTTTAGAAAAATATTAAGAGCATTGAAAATAAAATTGATGTGATTAGCCTCAGATTTGCTAAAAGTATAAATATTATCGACATAAATCAGATGGTTAATATAATCATTTATAGCCAACTTATTTCAATCAGAAGAAAAAAATCCATAATAATGATAAAAAGATAAGAATATAAATGACAACCTTGTCATGGACCAGCAGAAGATGAAAAATAGCATTTAAAATTATTATTTATAATAACATAGAAGTGAACATCTAAAGTACAAGCAACAATCTAGTTAATAGATTTAATAGGTATACCAATACGATGTAATCTAAAATACATAAAAACTATATTAACTTTTTCAAAAGCTATATGAATATCAATTTTAGCACAAAGTTTTTAAGGCTACTAGAAGAATTGAAATTATAAAGTAATTCATTGCTAAAATGATATTATTAGCTATATGACAACCACTAATAAAAGTAGCCTGTGCAGGATGGATAATCTTTGGGAGAATTAGTTTAAGTTTATTAGCTAACAAAATAACAATAATTTTATAAAAAATATTAAAAATAGAAATCAGATGAAATTTGAAGAAAGATTTAACATTTGTAATTTTATGTATTAACACAATAGCATAATGCTTCACTTTATGATGCAGTTGAGAAGTAATAAAAAAAATGATTAATGGCAAAAATACAATCATTGCCAATAATATCCTAGGTATCTTTAAAATATTTTACAGAAAAATCATCCAGACTTGGGTCTTTACTAGAGCCAATAGAGGACAAAGCTTTTTTAATAACTTCATTAGAAAAGATTAAGATCAGTAAAGAAACATCATCATCAGAGATAAAATTGCTTATAGAAAAATTATTTCTTAAAGATGATCGTTATTAATAGAACTATTAAGCAAATTAGGGTAAAAGTTAATATCTTCTTTAACAATATCATCTTGATCATGAATGAACTTGCCATCAACCAAACTTTTTTTATAAAGTTATAATTACGACGAATTCTAGCTTTTTAATAAAAAGATTTTAACATCATCCTCACCTTTAGAAAATCAAGAGCATTTAGATTTTTTCTTGGCCCATTTATACTCATAAACATTAGCATTAGAGATATTCTTTTGGAGAGAAGAAGCTTGTTCCAAAAAAATATTAGAAAGAGAAAAATTTTCAGTTGAGGCATAATCTTTTTTTGTTGATTCTTAAGATCATAAATATAAAAATATAAAACAAAAGAAGAATTTCAATGCTAATTCTTAATAGCCACCTTAACATTACGAAGCTTATTATAAAAAGAAAAAAATAGGATCACCTTTCATAGGTATTTTTCAAGCATTATCAACAATATTAAAAAATTCATGGCATAAACTCTAATAATTTTTATGCAAAAACCTACAATGTGCATTATGGGAATCATCTAGAGAAACTAAAATATGATGATGGTCAAAAGAGTAAGCATTTAAGACTTTGTAATAAGAATGAGAGAAAGAATCAATTCATAGAGCATTATAAAGGGCTTTGTTAAGAAGACATCTGATACGATTATTCAATTGGTTATTAAACTAATTGAAAGAATAGCCAAATTTTGAAGCTCAATAAGACAAGTTTGCAAAATTTAATTATAAAAATCATAGAGTTTACCAAGCAGAGGAGGAACAACCCTCACTTTTTCCTCATTTCTATGAATAAAATTAAAATCACCTAGAATGATCCAATGAGAACTTAAATTATCAGCAATGTATTACCAATAGAATTCCAAAGATTTTTCCAGGTATAAGCATTATTATCCACATAAATAGTAGTTACATAAAAATTAATAAATAAAGAGATAGAAACAAAACCATGGATAAATTGAGCATCCATCTTAATAACAATAAAATTCAAGCAATCTTGATTTCACTTAATTCAAATCCTCCTATTTTTAGCAAGATGAAAATCACTCACACTTCCTTCATTTGAAAAAAAAATTGGAATGGGATGAAAACAGAGGATCAGACAATTAATATGTATTTAATTTAGTTTCCAAAAGACACAAAATGTCAAACTTAAAATCTTTAAAAAAATTATTTGCAATCAACTGAATAGGTTTCAATATTCAAACCCATGACATTCCAAGCAGCCAATTTAGGAGAAAACATAAAATAAAATTGGATAAAAGAAAAATAAAATCATTTAGATCTACCATTCTTACTTCAAAGAGAAACACTAGAATAAGAACATTACTAATAAAATTACCAGCATTAGAATTAGATAAATTGTTCACAATCATACCATTGCCTTGAGAAATAGAATTAGTAACAACTCCAGAGTTGACATTAACAACCTTGTCATTAATAGAAATATTATTTGAATGAATAAAAGCATGTGTAACATAATGATTTCCGTCGGCAACATCAAGACCATTACCCTGAGAAGTCTCTTCTAAAACAACATTAAGAGGATTTAAAACAAAAACTAATAGAGAACCTGAATTCTAATCATCAACATCAATAAAATTATTAACAATATTAACCTCAGAAATAATAGCAGTAATAAAATCAATAGTAACATTAATAACATATCAAATAACAACAGGGGTATTAGTGTTAGGAATAGAAGTCGAGACATTAGGAATAGAAGTCAATATAAGAACTTGAACTTTATTAGTCCCTTGAAAGGACCTAAAGAAATTAACAAATCTACTTTGATTTCTAAAATTTCTCAATGTATTTTGTTTTGGTTGATTTCTTCCTCTTAGATTAGGATTAACAGTAGCATGCAAAGAAGAAGATTTTGGGTAGGTAGAGGGATTTTGAGAGAATGTAGAACAAATGGTACAAGGATTTGGCTTCCATTCATAAAAAACAGAAATAACATATTGTTTATCTTTAAAAACTATAGTTATGGATTTAGGGAGAGATGAATTTATGCTAATTTGAATATTTATCCTGACAAAAGAAAGTCTTGAACATTTAACCGTCAACGAATCAACCCCAAGGGGAATACCAATCTTACTTATAATTTTTTTAAATCCCTTTTCAGTCAAACAAAATAATAGAACATTATGGAATTTAACCCAAATAGAGACTTCCTTTTTATCTTTCCAAATAAGCTTAAAATCAAAACTCCATTTTTAAAGATAAAAAGTTTTCGACCAATGAACCAAGAGCTAACAAACAGGACCATTTCAAGATCCTCCAAACAAGTAAACTTAAAAAGAAAAAAAAAACCTCTGAAAGTGAAATTAGATCAACTAGGTCATGCAGTTTCTAGATCTTACCAATAGACTGAAAGAGGATCTCATAAAAAGGCCTTCTGTTTGAAACATACCCAACCAACGCAATATCCTAATATTTCAAACCGGCCTCAACCTCATCATCTGAGAAAGTAATCTTATCATCTGCATAAGGGTTATAATAAAGATAAAAAAAACAAATGTTAGAAAGATTAGAAGATCCTAAGCCTTTCAAACTTAATGGTTGTTCAGGAGCAGAGGATTGGATTGGAGGAAAAGAAGATGCCATAAATTAGAAAAAAATTAGGACAGAGCCCCTAAATTTTGAAATGAATTCATAATAAGAAAAAATATAAAGAAATCCGAAAAGTTTTCCAAGAGAAAAGAAAAAAATCATGAAGAAACCGAAAGAAAATGAAGAAACCCTAGGGGCTTCCAAAAACCGCCATAGAAAGCTAGTAAAGAGATAAAAATAGAAAGAAATAAAGATAGAGTCAAAAATTTTTCGAAGAAAAAGAGAAAAATCATGAAAAAAAAAACGAAAAATACCCTAAAAAGTTTTAAAGAATTGCTAGGGCTCTGCTCCAGTCCTCATATGTTTTTTTTTTGTTGTTGTGAATTTGTGGCGGTGACGGTGAAGCTCAATTTGTATATGTTGTAAAAATATATAAAAAGATTTATCTGGATTACATTTAGTTTAACTAAAATTTATTTCCATCAAAAATTAAAATTTCATTAACAATTAGCCAAAATCTACTTCCACTTCAAAGCTCTAGCGATTTGGGTTTAAAATTTGAAAGATTACACGAAGTAAGAGAGGAAAGCAAGACCGGAGGATCAATTAAGATGGAACTTGAAGCATGAAGCATCACATCTTGTGAATTGTATGCGATTAAATAGTGATAGAGTTGAATTCAATGGCATTTCTCCTCTCCGAAATTGCCAAACCAAAGCATCATCATTTAGCCTTAGTTGACATATGAGCAAGATGATTAGAATCATGTCTCATGCCTATATGAAGTTGTCCACCTTTTTTCTATTTTTGCTAATATATATTAAGATTCATTTTTAATTGATGAATTTTATTTCAATTTAATTATAAATAAATCAAATCAAACTATGTAAATATTTATAATTTTATAGTTATTACACCCTATATAAAATAAATAAAGAAATATAACTTGTTATACCTCGAATAATCTTTACTTAAAAATCTCTTATATAATTTTTACCGTTCCAACCCTCCATTCAGCGCAGTAACGCTGACGGTTAGATAACCGCCTAGGTTAATTGCTCGCACGGAGGGCAATATCGTCCCTCGCTAAAAGTTAAAGGATTTAAATATACTCGGCCCCCGAAATGCTCAATGCTCTCAAACTTCTCTGTACCAGCTCTCCACTGCTCTCCTCTATAAGGTGCGGATTGCGAGGTCTTCGTCAGTCTCTGGTGATGGAAATGAAACCTGAGAAGCTTTTGGAAGCGCGAAGCGATCAAAAGAAGGAGAAAACGCAAGAACAAGAAGCAAGATTAGTTAGGTCTTAGCCTTCGAGGTCAGAGAGAGGGCTGAGCCGAATCAGATATTTCTATTCCGGTAAGAAATCTTTCGATCGAAGGTTTCTTTTTTTCAATCGGAATAGAGAAGAAGAGAGGGAATGCTGTAGGATTTTTACGCATCAAGTGATCGTTTAATTTATCTTTCTGTTTTTTTTTTTGTTTTTTTTTTTGCTAATTGCTTCATTTCTTGTTGATGTTGTTGGTGGCCTGAAAATCATTTGTTGGTTCTCCTTCTCACCGTATATGAATACTTACAGGGGCTTGTTTTGTTACTTTGGAACAATTTTAATCTATATTTTTATTACAGAAAATACATACCTAACGTTTAAATCTTATCTATTACATAGCAATGATCAAATATGTTGAAATATGACAAAAGTGAAAATATGGTTGGATTTTCTTTTGATTTCTTATATATGCATTAGAATTAAAAAAATGGTTGTATAAGAGTGTTAGTTTTGGAAATAAGTTAAAGTGGAGTGTTATGAGTGCAGTTATTTTATTTCGGCCACGTGAAAATTAGGCATGATTATTCCGTGTCGGATTTTTCACTGTTACAGACAATTATAGTGCCTTACCTACAATAGCATTGCGTACAGTATTTCCTACAGTAAGGATTCGAAAGAATTATTGCAAATAACCAAACCCATCACCCATCCATCAGATTTGAAAGGATATTTTACGTTTTGTCCACAACTGTGCTGTTTCGTATTGCGTGATGACGAGCTGTTCTCAGCTGTTAGGTTTGAATGCTCATCTTTCCTATAACAAAAAAAATAATAAAATATTAGTGCATTAATGCATAATTAATTGTAATATTTCATCATACTTTTAATAAATTAAGTGCTAGTTTTATTAATCATGTTAGTTTAATATTATAATTATTAGTGTACATATAAAATATGTCAGCATGAATTTAAAGACACATGAACGACTCAAGAGGAAGAAATGCATCGAACGTAGCTGTTGACCGTTTTGGTGCTAGACGATGGCTAGAGAGACGTCTTGTTCGGGCGATCGATGGAACGACGCAAGAGATTTCTCGCAAGACGGTGATTAACCCTCAGAACGATCGACACTAAGCATTTTTTTGTATTAAATATCGATCGATTTGAGGCTTACTGAATGATCGACGACTCTTATCGATCGAATCACCCCTCCTCGCCCAATCTTATTATATGCGAATAACTTTGTAATTACTAAAAGTTCTTCTGAAAAATCAATGTTGAGGCTAATATGTGCTTTTGTAATGTTGGGACTTATATCTATAAATAGAGAATCTATGATATGAATAAATGTTACACTCTCTTTACTACTCCTTACGGTGCTCTCTTATCCCTAATGCTCTATACTTTGGGTGTGTTGTTCGGAAGTTTTGAGATTCAACATTCCTAAAGATGCGGTGAGTATGAAAACATGACATCAACAAGAAGAGCTCAACAACAATAATAGGGAGAATCCAGTCAGAGAAACGTGGCAATAGCAGCATGCACCAGGGAATTCATTGAAGAATTCGTCTAGCAAGGTCTGCAAAACTTAATGACTCAGATCACCAAACAAATGTCAGGACAGTTCGTGGAAGTGCTCGGGGCAGTCGCTGCCCTAGCGGTGGCCCAATTTCTAGAAGTAGGTCGACCCGACAAGAGACACTCAATCCCCCTCAAGAGGAACCACCAGCAAAGAACGGGAAAAGAACGATTCGCCTACAGGAGAAGCCTAACGACGGGTTATACCAAGACAGCGTTGGATCCGCCTCTGTGGAGGAGAGGAACCCACCAGTACGTATAGAGGTATAGAGATAGCTGGAGAATGTTTTCTCTCCATGGGTCTCGGGAGTTGAACTCCTGGAGAAGTTCAAGTTGCCCATCTTAGAATCATATAAAGGATGATCGAATCCCAACAACCATCTCGCATTGTTCAAATCGTTCATATGCTTGTTGAAAGTTTCTAATGCCCTCAAGTGTAAATTATTCTTCATAGCGTTGAGATCAACCGCATTAAGGTGGTTCGACGATTTGCCCGTGGGGGTAATCACCTGTTTTGCGGGGTTCATGAGATTTTTTCTATCGCAATTTTGGCAGTGCCCTGAAGCCTAATAGGAACGCCCGATGCCTATGGTAACTAAAGCAGGGAACCGACCAGTGCTTGCGGTTGTTTATCGCACTTTTTCAGAGCGGAACGCTGGATATCAAGGATTTGAAGCCCGACAAGGCCCAAGCTGCACTAACACAGGGAGGGGGGCCAAAAAGATTTTCCTTCGACCTTTAACTCACAAAGCCATAGAGCCTGGCTAAGCTGCTAGAGATGGCCAACAAGTATATCGTCATCTATTAGAATGCCCCAGAACCCGACAAATAAAGACACCAAAAACAACCGCCACAAGACAACAAAAAGAAACCCAGAAATGCACAAGACCGACCATCCACTCACGCTATAAGAACCACCATGGTAACAATCTCATCCATCATCATGAGGATCAAAGGAGGTAAGTGAAGGCCCCACACCACTGATCGTCCCAGTACCATGAATACCGAGGCAATCATGGGGTCCCTCGAGAAACGCCACTAAGGGTGTCCATGACAGAAATAGCGGACGCAATTTTGGATAAGGAGTACTTCAGAAAGGCAACCCCGATGAGAGCTGATACTTTTCTTCGAGGCAGCAGGAAGTATAGCAAATACCACAGAGAACACGGGCACAACACAATGGAATACATACACATGTTGAGCTTGTTTGAAGAACTGAGAAATGAGGGGAAGCTGAAAGACTTTGTCGCTCCTGGAGCTGCGAACCAGAGGCAAGGCAAAGCCTCCTTTGGAGGAGTGACCAACAGACCTGTCTGCGCCAACGTTATTCACATTGCGGGATATGTGCCCGCAATCTTTGGAGGAAGCGAACTGCCCAGGAAGATAAATTGAAAGAGGCAACAAGTAGGGGAACTTTGTGCCGCGATCTTTGCACCGAAATCGAACAGCCACCTGCCTATCTGTTTTATTGATGAGGATCTGCCTCCGAAGGGAAATGCATATAATGATGCTATTGTGATAGCGGAGATAATCAATAAATATCAAGTTGCGAGCATTCTTGTCGATACCAGGAGCTCCGTTAATGTTTTGTTCAAACATGTATTCGACAGGCTGAGTCTCACTATCAATCGGATGACTTCATCATCGGAACCACTCTATGAATTTTCGGGTGAAAGGAAGCGATAGGGGTAGTCAGGCTCCCGATAAGTTGAGGGGAAAATGAAAAGCAGTTCAAACTAATGGAGGATTTCCTCGTGGTGGATTCTCCCCAGACATACAACGCTATATTCGGTCGACCACTTAGGAACGATTTCAGGGCGGTGGTCTTCACTCATCATGCGTCGTCAAATTCCTTAGAGATTGAGTAACTATCACAGTCAGGGTTAATCTAGAACAGTCCCGAGTCTACTACTTGCGGACCATAGAAGCACAATCCCCTGGACATCTAGAACATAAGGGAAGGTGGCCTCGAAACCAACGAGACCACCCATGAAGTCTTAGTAGTTAAACGGGAGCTAGGTAAATGTTTTCTGATAAGTGACATATTTGATGCAAGACATAAGGAGCTGTTGGTTCGGTCCAAGAAAATTGAGTGGTCTTTGTATGGACGACACGCTAGCTGCCTGTCACAAACTGAATGTCGATCCATCGGCTCAGCCCATGAAGTAGAAGATAAGGAGCTCGACCATGACATTAGCATGACTTATCCGAGAGGAGGTACGAAAGCTAAAGGAGGTCGGATACATTGGAGAAGTGCAGTACCCCACCTGGGTCTCCAATATAGTGATGGTGCAGAAAACTAATGAAAAATGGAGGATGTGTGCGTACTTCACCAACCTGAACTTAGCTTGCCCAAAGGAAGCATATCCGTTGCCAAGGATCGATGCACTGGTAGATTTAGTGGTCGGTCATTCAGTCCTAAGCATCCTCAACGTGTTCTTTGAATATTACCAAATTATGCGGAAAATATTTCTTTTATTACTTGTGAAGGAGTCTATTGTTGCAATATAATGTTCATTGGGCTTAAAAATGCAGGGGCGACTTACCAACTTCTAATGAATGTAATCTTTGCTAATTTAAAAGAAAAAAACATTGAGATCTATGTCAATGATGTGTTAGTTAAGAGTCGATCGACCAAGCAACACATTGAAGATCTAAAAGAAACTTTTCTAATATTTAAAAAATTTAACATGAAATTGAATCCATTGAAATGTATCTTTGGAGCCATGACGGACAAATTTCTAGGATACTTGCTAAACCCCAAAGGCATAAAAGCTAACCCGGAAAAGATACAGGCACTCCTGAACATGTCCATCTTAGAAACACCAAAGAAATCCAAAAGCTGGTCGACCGAATCGCAGGTTTGAGTAGGTTCATCTCCAAATTAGGTGATAAATGCACCCCATTATTGAAAGTATTCGGGAAAGCCAAATGCTTCAAATGGACACACGAATGCGAAGCAGCCTTCAGGAACCTCAAGCAGTTCCTCTCCTCTCATCCTCTCCCCCAAAGCCTAAATCCAAAGGAAAAAATTTACCTTTACCTTAGGGTCGGCCTCGAAGCCGTCGGTTAGGTTTTGGTTAGAGAATAACTTGAAAAGCATTCAGTGTACTATACCAGTCGGGTCCTTAAAGGTGCCGAACTTCGATATCCTATAATTGGTAAACTGATCTTCACCTTGTTCATTTTAGCACGGAGACTCTGACCGTATTTCCAGGTACATTCAGTACAAGTCATCACCGATCACCCATTAAAGTCTGTTTTCATCAAGCCGGAACACTTCGATACACTACTCAAATGGGTCATGGAACTCAGTACGTTCAACATCTCCTACACCATCCAGACGATAATAAAAGCACAAGCCGTTGCAGACTTCTCCGAACCGAGCGGTGTGAACAAAGACCTGGCGATCGACGAGTCGGTTTGGACCCTGCTCACTAATGAAGCCTCCAACTTTGCTTCTGAAATGGGAGTCCTCTACATACAAGTTAGGCTAATTTGCAACTGATAG